TGGTGCTTTGTAGCTCTTATTCCACTCTCCCATAGTCCGCCAAAGTGTGGAGCGTGGGGTGGGATAAAATGCCATTCCGTTCCATTGTCTGCCAAACTCTTAACGATTTCCATCGTCGTTTGACCTTTCTCCAGCAAACAAAGACCTTAGTTCTCGAGCAGCTCCCACAAAGTTGGTCCCATTGTCGCTCTCGAACTCTTTAGAGTTCTGCGCAATGACCGCGTCGAGCAACAAAACGCTTGAAAGCAGATAGAAATCCTTGCGATGTAAGATCACTAACGACTTCGAGATATATAGCCTTCGTAGCCATACAAACGAACAAACAAATGTAACCTTTGTAAGCTCGGTGTCCTCTTCCCTTAGTTGTTCGAATGTGGATAGGGCAAGCGTAGTCTAAACCACTTTGGTAAAATGACGAATTGGTATAACTCGTACCGGGGGTAAGTGGCCCATCAGCTGAGTCCTAGTTTCCTTTGACATTGTTTAATACAGGTAAGTAAAGCTTCATTTAATTCTCGACTAGTTAACCAAGTAGGATATTCATTTGTTAATTTCCTTAACTTTTTGATAAATCTGTTACAATAAGCTAGGACTCGTAAAGGTTTTTTCATTGATGAATATTTGCTAAACAATTTCAATTCTATCTCTTCTACTATATGGTAACTTTTCTTGCTTTTTTCTTCTAAATTAGTGTCTGGTATGGATGGTTGGTATGGATGGATGATATGGTGTCGTTGTATGTGGTTTTCTTTTGTAATTGATAACTTTATTTTGTAGCCAGATCGACATCTCTGAATGGGAGTTTAACGATATAACTTCCCGATGGATCTCGCTTCGTGGTTTCTTTATAGATGTCTTCACATCTTTGTTCTTCAGGAGTGAGGTGAGTTCTTTTAAGGTTAAAGTTATCAGACTCAAGTTCCCAAAATTGTTTAAGGTTAAAATCATCATTGTTAATTTGAGTGTGCATTGTTAATATGTTTTCGCAACCCAAACCATGTTGGTCGTGATGATCGTTCTCGATTTTTCCAGATAAGATCCAACCTAGCCTAGTGTTCTGAGCTATTGATGTTCCTGGTGGTCCTCTCATTAGACCCTCAGCTATGATTTGATAATAGACATCAGCACCAAGCAACATATCAATATTACTTAGTTTGTTAAATTTTGGATCTGCTAACTTCATCCTTGGTAGATTTGGCCACAGATGGACAACGAATTCCTTTACAGGGAGAAAGGAAGTTAGTTTTTTAAGAACATGAGCTGTTACACAAATACTAAATGATTCATCTTGAATTGATTGCAGATTAATCTGCACTACATATTTGGAATCGAGTTTGGCATTGCCGTCACCTCCAACTCCAGATATGACACTGTTGCTTTTGATTTTCTTTAGCCCCAGCAACTGGACTGCAGACTCCGTAATAAATGAAGCCTGTGAGCCCTGATCTAATAAGGCTCGCAGTGTTATACTTGATCCAGAATTATTTTTGACCCTTACGAGGGCTGTTGCCAATAGAACTTGTTTTCTGGTATTAGTAAAACAAGTGGTAATATTTTCAATGTTGGTCTCGTCTGGTCTCGATGTTGTTGCCGTTGCAACAACATTGATATCTTCTCGTGATTGGTTGTTAGCTGATACATTATCTGTTGATACACTAGCGTTGTAATGCTAAAGTGAATGGTGTTTTCGTTTGCAAATCTTACACCTGGTGGGCAAACGACACGCCACAACCGAATGATTAGCCCTTAAACAGTTGAAGCACAAGGCGGAACTTTGGACAAACTCACGACGTGTTTTAAGGTTACCCTTAGCAAACTCCTTACAATTTCCTTGTTTATGCTTACTATCTGAACAAAAGACACAATTAGAGATTGAGTGCTTTTGACTGGTTTGTTTGTTAAAAATTCAAGTGACCTAAACCTTTGCTCTAGAAATTCAAAAAACTGATTTAATGTTGGCAATTCATCTGTTAAATTACAAATTTTAGTTTCCCATAACTCTCTAGACTTAGTATCTAATTTTGAACTTAAAATATATAAAACAATAACATCCCAATTGTCAGTTATTATTCCTATATTTTTCAATGCCTTTCATTCATTTGTGGTGTCTAGTAATTCTTTAACAGCATTAGAAGATTCAGAAACAATATTCTTTTGAGAAAAAAATCTTTTTAAAATACTATTTGTAATAAATTTCTTATTATTAAAACGTTGTTCCAACATACTCCAACATAGTTCATAATTTTCACTTGTAACCGGCAGGTGTCGTAGTAACTGCTCGGCTTCACCGGTCAGGTAACCTTTGAGGTAATGCAACTTGTATCGATGACTTAAACAGGTCACGAAACGTGGTCCATTGTGAATAGTTGCCAGAAAAAGTAGGTATTGTTATTCTAGGTAATTTTATTTCACTGTTAATGTTGCTTACTACATCGCTCGTAACTATAGGGCTATTTTAAATTTAGTAAGTTTTTTCTTTATATCAATTTTGTATTCACTATATAAATCTTCCGTCTCTCCATATACATCTTTCAAGTTGTACTCCGATTCATCATAATCTTCCTCACCATAGTTACATATTAATTAATTGTGTGTCTCTTCAAATGTTGACCATTGTTTTTCTAATTGTTCCAATCTGGTTTCCAAATAACTTCCTGTAATTTTATCTTTTGGTGTTTTCTTAAAATTTGTATAAGCCCTTTTTAGTGTTTTGTTAATATCTTTCTGTACTCTTATAAGTGATTCCATTGTGATCGAGATTTTTCTAAGTTCAATAAGTCAAAAATTATCAAGTGTATCTGGTCGTAAAAACACTTGTAAAATTTCCAAGTTCCAAATCGCAAATTTTTTCTAAGTGTTTGGTGTAGTAACTTCGACAAAATCGGGCATGGATTCCCCGTCTCAACCACTTTTGCCTTAATTATTTTACAAGTTCATGCCTTATGTTAATTTTTCTAAGTGTTTGGTGTAATAACTTCGACTTAGGCAAAATCGGGCATGGATTCCCCGTCTTATGCACTTTTGCCTTAATTTTTCTAAGTTATTTTACCAAAGTTATTAGAGTTCAAATTTGTTAGACAAAGTTTTAAAGTACTTACAGTTTTAGTCACCTTTACACTTACACACACCACAATCACTTATTTTACATTATCACTTTACACTAACACTAGAGGGCTCCACTACTGCCGCCAGATGGTTTACAATCACTGCTGTATCCGGCTACGAATGACCATGAATAAAAATCCACGATTCCAGGACGAAGACAATTTATTCAAAAAACATGTTAAACCTTATACTACAAACCGCATACAAAGATAGCGCGATCCAGCACAATGCAGAAAACGCACAGCGCCATCCGTTAGTGAATTTCACAACTAAATACAATATTGTTGTACATATTACGTTTGGACAGTAAGTATTACCACCTGTTTGTTGTTAATTAGCAAAACGTAAGTATGCGTTGTTTATCGTCAAATACACTTTTAGTTGCTGTACTTTTTGCGTAATTAGATATAAATAGAAACAATATTTTTTATTGATAATAAGGTGAACCACAACCAGAGCGCATGTGCACAACTCTCTGGAACTGCGTACGCATAACTGCAGCAGTCGCTCTTTCTCCGCAGATGGCAAACCGCAGTGCACGAATTCGTTGAGGGTTTAAGCGAGAGCGGATTCGAGAGCAGCAGTCAGCCAGTGGTTAGATCATCGTGTGACGTGTGTGTCGTCCTTTCCTTCAACCGTGAGAGTGTATGTTTCAGACGAGTTAGGTATAAAGAGAACGGAGCAGCGGCAGAACAAAGGAAACACCATGTCACGAAGCGAATCTATGGTCAGCCGCCGCACACCGCACACACCACTCGGTTTACCCGACAGCGTCAGCGTAGACTCCAACCCAATGCTCAGCATATACCGGTAACGCCCTATCCTCTGCGCTTAGCGTCGTGTCTCTCGATCAAAACTGTGCCTCGGACGATCGAAGGACAGGGCGTCAACCATGCTCAGCATTGCACGACATAGTAAAGTTCAGCGCCACTTCACTCGCTGTCACAGTCGTCGTCGCATGATCCCCGCGGCGCAACGTGAATATCAATCCATAGAAAAGACAAAAGCCAAGGGCTCGATTTGAACCCTCTCATAGTTCAAAGGCATCGGATTTTTTTCTACTTCCTTTGACATTTTTCTATTTACATTAGCCTGCCATCAGGTTGTAGCTAGCTTAGCTTTCATATTAGTGCCGTCGACGAGGTAGGTTATCATTAATATTACTTAAAACTTACCTTTCTTCCTGACTCCCGCATTTTCTTTTTCACTCTCTATGCTTTATGGAGTTATAGAATTTAATTAGAGAAATTGTATGTAGCAAATTTTCCGTTCTATTTAATTTGTATTTGTGTATAATTTTGGTTTATATCGATACCGTGTAAGTATAAAATAACTAGCTACAGTAGAGTATTTTTAATCATATGGAATTTATTATTGTGCTTGCAATTTAGAAAATAGTAAGCAGTTGTTAAAAAAGTGCAGTGTTTAAGCAGAAATTTAGAATAAGCTTTTTATTGTATAATAAATTAAGGATTACGTTACATAAAATAATAGCTAATATAAGACAAAAAACATATTAATGAAATATTAAATTTAGACTTTTGATTTTGGAACGTGATACGCAGATGCCGAGCACCCATCGCGTCGCTGGACTGTATGAACGACTTTAGCACAAACTCTGCTCTGCACTTATTTTAACCAGCATTATACATTAGCTCCAAGCTCTCGCTATCCTTTTTATGCTTTTCACTTAATTCATCAATCATATATTTAAAACAGACAGTGTTTTTGGGAAGGATATGTTAAGAAGAACTTCACTGTCAAAGCTCACTTGGCTTTGGGATTTACACACACAATACATAACACGTACAGCTGAGAAAATTATTTATTTCTGTAAATTTATAGTGTTTATATTAAATTGATTATCCAATATTTTTGTAGCCAGTTGGAAGAATATGGCACGTCAGTCGTCAGTGTACATCGGGAACCACGCAAGTATACCGTCATCCGTGACTCCAGGACTTTGTTATAAAAACTTGGGCAAGTCAGGATTGCGAGTGCCCAACATTGGTCTCAGCCTGTGGACTATGCTCAACGAAGATGTCGCTGAAGACCTCGTCATGACAGCTCTCGAGAATGGAATCAATCTAATTGATTTATCTAAAGCTCATAACAGTAAGCCTTTTTAAAAAATAACTGGACTTTTTTAAACTTGACACTTTATTGACTAAACTAATAACTTTTAACGATTTTAGCACAGGGTGAAGCAGAATTGGGCAGAATACTGAAGAAAAGAAACGTTAATCGATCCAGTATTATTATTACAACCAAAATCTATTGGAGTACTAAGTGAGTTTTCTTGTTTATTAGAAATAAAAAAAATACCAGTAACCCTGGTATATATTTATTCTATAATTTAACGGTTATGTTCACATAGATACGTATATAAAAGTAAAACTTAATTTTTTTATTTATAGGTGTGAAGAAAGAGGTCTATCTCGAAAACATATAACAGAAAGCGTGAAGGAGTCATTGGGGAGGCTTCAGCTAGAGTACATAGACTTAGTTCTTCTACATAAAACGGATCCTGTATGTCCGATGGAAGGTAGGACCCTGCATTCTATATAATTAAATCGATACTAAGTATTGTCTCAATGTTATAAATTGCTTATTGCAGAATTGGTCCGAACAATGGACTGCCTCATAAACCAAGGTTTTGTGATGTATTGGGGCACAGCGCGCTGGACTCCAACCGAGGTAAAATGTACTTTTTGCCTTATATGAAAATGTATAATGTAGTTAAATATATTTTAATAATACAATAAAATGGATTTCATAGATTATGGACGCGTACTCTAAGTGTCGAATTTTCAATTGCTGTCCGCCGGTCGTCGAGCAGACAGAGTACCATATGTTCTGTCGTGAAAAGACCGAACTGTATATGCCAGAAGTGTATCATAAAATTGGAGTGGGTCAGTATATTAATTTTAGTATTGTAGGTACCCATGATCGATCGTAATCATTGTCTTTGTATGCAGGAACTATGGTGTGGTCTGCACTAACTACTGATGAATCTCGCTTCAACCGCAAATACAGCACATTCAGCTCGTGGGAGGAGGAACTCGTTGCTAGCAATGTAACTAAAGCATTAATTAAACATCCTTTACATAATATATTTTAAATAAAATAAGCTTAAATATGGTGTTTTTATAGGAACTCGAAAACAATGAATCTACAGTAGCCGAAGAGTCACGAAGTTTCAAGGGCAAACTGAAAGCTCTCTCCGACCTAGCCAATGCCATGAGCGAGTATAATTTATGATTCGCTATAATTATAAAATCGAGTTATTAATATTTACGCCTGTCTCATTGTGTTTTCAGATTGCTCGATAAGGCAGTTGTCGGTGGCGTGGTGTCTTAAAAATGAAAATATAACCTGCTTACTTCTAGGCGCTACAAGTGTCGAACAATTCAAAGAAAATATACACGCACTGCAGGTATCTTATTTAGGAGGCGATTTTTACATTACAGAGGAATCTATCGTAATCGTAAAAATACGTAATCAAGTAATATGTGGTTTTAATTGTTGGTTGTGGACAAAAACCAAGCTATGATATTTTACTGCAGAAATTTCATTTACTGCAGTCATTTTTATTTCCTCAAATAAACAGTTCATGTATTATTGTATCTAATGAGTCATTTAATTCGATTTCACAGATCGTGCCTCAATTGTCTAAGGCGGTGATTTTGGACATCGAAAAAATTTTGGCAAACAAACTAGACACTGCGTAAGTTAGTTCATTTAGCACTGAAGTTTTTATTATGAATCTTTGCGTGTTAAGGTACTATTTAACGAAACTTTTGTACGGTCAGTGATGGCACAGAGATGCCGAAAGAAGATGACGTGGAAGCCAACGTTTCAACCCCCGAGAAGGAGGAAGTAGTCAGGGGTTGTGCGGTTCAATGGTGTTGGTGGAAACGAAACTCTGACGCGGCTTCCAAGACTAGTAAATCTAAGGTCAGGTTCAAACTGAATTTTACAACAGTAAAAGAAAAATCATTGTATAACACACTCTTGTTCTTTATTTTACTTAGGACTCGCTAAAAGACTCAAAACCAAAGTACTTTTTGAACAATGCTGGCGCGGTGATACGGCGCGAAGAACGTGATGGCGTGACATCCGATACAGTAGTATCTGTATCTTCTCTGAAGGGCAAACAACCAGCATCTGGAGGCAGCAAGGGTAAGAAAGGCACGTTCTGGCTCGCTGCACCGCTCCACGTCAGGGCAATTGGCGAGCTCCCGAGACCGTAAAATATCTAGGTTCAATCTGGGATCACCTGCTGATGTATAAAGTATGAAACATCATGAGGGTCATGAATCTTTGTAAAATTAGATATACATTTTGTAATTATTTCACTCAAGGACAAAAACTGACATCGTTTGCCACAAATTAGTTAGAGGTATCACTATATAGAAGTCAATATTAATATGACTATAGTCTATTTAACATATTAATGTTTTATCTTTTATCGTTGCAAAAGAGAAAATATTATTTACTAGAAAATAAGTGCCAATTGATTGTAAATATAAATTTAATAGTCAAGCTAAATGAAAGAGGTAATTGACAGATTTAATTTTAGTTCGCTTACCATACCATACGCTCTGTTGTTTGACTAAACTAAATAATTCAATCAGCCAAATGTATAATCAAATAATCAAAATGTATGTATATAATATAGTGTTAACCAATTCAAATGTTTTTCATTGTATACTTACTGCATGTATATTTTTACTGTCTCTAAGCTTTATAATAGTCCTGCTTGCGACAATTTGATTTGCATTTTTAAATTAATTAACTTCGAAAGTGATGAATTTGCGTTGCGAATAAAGTGTATTTAGTTTATTTTATTATTTAATGCAATTTTATAAAAAATAAAAATTACCATCAATACTACAGAGTAATTTTTATTATTTAGGTAGGTAATTATTTTAGCAAAATCTACGCAGCGTCGAAAACAAAAATGTATTATTATAAAAACTTCAAATACCTCCCCATACCATTAAAGGGCTCATAGTTCGCAACAAAATATAAAGCACAATCTACAATAAATTTACACATAGAATATGATTACAGTATACGAATGAATTGAATACATTGTGGTCTGTTGTCTTAAGGTAGTTAGGACCTTACTTATATTTGATTCGTATTACTCAAAAAGGTTAAGTCCTAGAGAATGACATGTGTCGAGTAGTCAAAGCTAGATATAAAATATTGTAAACCTATTTTAAAAGAATAAGTGTGGAGTTTCTTGCCCATTGTTCTCCACACGAAACTACCTTTTGGAAGGGGCAACTAGAATCTTCTTTGTATTTTGTTTGACGTTCAAAAGTGCCATTTTAGGTGGTCTAATTGAAATAAATGATTTGACATTGACTTTAGATACTGCTTTACACAATCGTTGTTGATAAGCAATGTGACGAGAGGGCGCTATTAGAAGCAATATTATTGGCTTAGAATCACTTAGGCGGGGATTATATGAATAATTAATCTAAAAGTTTATTGTATTTTATATATTTTGCAAGTACAAAATTCTGTAAAATCAAGATACTTATATTTTTTAATGCACCAGCAGAACTTCCAGTACTTGGGAATATTGATCATGTTTTAACAAAATTTAAGAAGTGATTAGTTAAGCCACTTAAAATTAAACAACAATAAGAGATAGGCCTTTTATGTTAATTTCTACCATACCATTTACTCCAATTGACAAAATATGAAAGACAAAATAAGGATTCATTTTTATATGGAGGATATTATTGATTCCAGTTTAAATTGAATAGGTACTCATACATAAGATAGGTCAGCTATACAAAATAAAGTAGTGCATCAAAGCTACGCTAAGGCGGTACGAAGGTCGCCGGGTCAGCTAGAATAGAGAAAAGAACAGAATATATTTTGATTCGAACCATCAGTCTGTATGAATAATAATTCATTGAACTAACTTTTTTGTTCGTTTCAGCACCTGTAAAGAATTTTTTGTGTTAATAATATAAATTTTAAGTTAGTAAACATATATTTTAATGTAGTAAACATATATTGTTAATTAATTTACCTGTAACTGGATTTATCATCTTAATTGAAAAATGATAGCCATCTTCACCTTGCATCAATAGGATAGGATATTGTAAGGCATCATATGATCGATGTGTTTCAGACACACGCTGAAGTTGATTGTTCCGCCGATGTAAAACAATGTCTCGGTTTTCAAAATTTTCCCCCGCGACGACAATAGCCACTTCATCAATTGTTGGCACATTAAAACGTCCAGCATGTTGTCCTGCAGGCGCCTTATCGGCTCTGATAACAATTTTATGATTATCTGATGGCATGCGGTCTAATGCAGTTGTGAATAATGCAACTAATTCATTGTGTTGATGGAAAAATGTTTGAAGTTGTTCCACAATGGATCTTTTCACTGAGTTGTTGTGTGCGCAACGCTGATCGACTTCTCTTACTGAATTGCCGATAAAATATATTTGCAAAAATTTATAGTCTTCATCAGGTATTGGCAATAAGGAACCTGTTCGATTATATATTTGACCCTGAATCTGCAAGAATATAAATATGTATTTAGGTAATTGTATATAGCAAATTGTTTTTTCATAACAACAGCAACTTTACAACTTCAATTCATTTCAAATTAAAACTACTTTAAACCTCGACATTGAACAGCAGCCTTCCATGGCAGCTTTAAGTAGTAGGCTTTTCCAATTATTGGAACACCTTGATCATGCCATTATGAAATACAACATGTTATAAAATGTTGCTGATTAAGTCATTGGGTTATTGACTATTATTATGTATATTTTGACTTATTGTTTACAAATTAAACACAACACTGGCTCAACATATTTTGCACCAGCTACATGGTTGTAAAACTAAATGAAATTGTTTGCCATTATACTTACTTACCTTGAAAGAAGGCATAAAATTGTCTCGAATAACTTTTGTTGAGCCAAATGATGTCATTTGAAAGCAATTATTGTATTGCTGGATATGAGTCAAAAAATGATTAGAATCTGGCCTATTTCCGGAAACCAATGAATGTAGTGGCTCTGGTGGTGGTACCAATGGCGTTAATTTGACTTGACCGCTGGCGCAACACAATACATGGGCTTCATTTTTGAATTTCAATGCATTGCAATGTGGACACACAATATTCATTAATCCAATAGCAACAATTCGCTCTGAACTGTAATCAATTGCCATATTATAACTGAATGCAGCTCTGTGGGGATTAAACACAACATTTCTATGTTGATTTCGATTTCGTTGAAGTTCATTTCGCGCTTCGCGTTGCTCATCAGTTTGATTTTTCTCTTATATTTCTTTGACTTGCCGTATTTCGAGTTCTGCGGCCTAAGTTTGTACGTCTGGTTGGTGGTATTGTTAAAAATGAAAATCCAACTGAAAATATAAAGATCTCATATATTTTCTGTATAACCATCTATACCAAATTGTTAAATTGTGTAGTCACCAAAAGTTACCAAAAATCGATATGAAGTGAATTGAACTTATCGAGATTAACAAACAATTAGGGTTGGGTGTGAGTCAAACGAACCTGGATTTGATGATACTGATTGTGCAGGAGTCTCGGGGACCCTTGATTGGAACACCTCCAAGTGATTTTAGCTTTAGGATAAGCGTCAAAGTATTTTTAAAATTTTTTTTAACTTTTCTCAATTGTATTGAAATTTATAAACAATCCGCCATTATCTAACTACTTTTCTATTGGTTATAAGAGATGTGTCATTGTCGTTTTCTATTGGTTATAAGTGATGTGACATTTTCGGTAAATTAATCGGATCGATTATTTTCTCATTTGTTATTTTTAAAGTTGAACCTAATCGAATCGATTATTTCCTCATTTGTTAATTTTATAGTTGAACCTAATTTAAGCATTACTTGTCAAATGTACATACATTACATTAGGTTAGAGTTAGTATATGAATATTTGGTCGCCGAGAAGCCGAGGTTTGAATAAACAATTACTATTTAGATCGGAGCTGTCCACAAAAACAAATATTATTTAGATTGGTTAGGTTATATAAATATTAATATACTAACCGTATATTAATATTTTTTTTAAATAACTGTTCAACTGAAACTCGAAATCGAATACAAAATCGGATTCAAAATCGAATACTAAAATCGATTTTCACTTTCACAGAATAGATTATTTTTCACATCTCTATTCATTTTATAAAGTATAAACGCAATCGGCCATTTCGAATGTGGATTTTGCCAGAACAGTGTGTGTTCACAGTGGTCAAGTGCAAAATATCAGTTAAAACCACACTCCCCGCGCCATTCACACACTTGCCCAGGCGTGGGGGCCCGTAAGTGGGCTTCCCCAGGTAAAAAAAAAATATTTTTTTTTTCCTAAGCGCAAAATTTGTGGGGGGTGATTACTACACCCCTCCCCCCCCCCTCACCCCCGCAACCCCAAATTTGGGTACTTCTATTTTACATCGTTACCGACAATACAAACAACTGATTTGTGAACTACAGAACTAATACTAAGTTTGGTGTTCTCTGATGAAGTTCTCTGTTCAGTCTCTGAAGTTTTTTAGCTTGCTCGTGAATGAAGTCTTGAACGTATAAACTTAGTTAACTTTCTCAAATTATTAATACATTTACATAAGTTATTAAAGCCTTTATAAGTAATCAGAAAGAACACGGACAGAACGCCAATCGGCTATTTACGGAAACGAATCATATTAACAGTCACTAGGGGCAGAAATAAGGGCACCAGGCCCTTAACAAAACCGTTGGACGTGCTTAATACTATCTCAGAAACAATAGAACTTATATGTTCGCAGTGCTTCGAAAAGCGATGTCCTATGCAAGTTATAAATATTTAACATATTACTTTTCTAATGTTTTTATATTTGTTAACACAACCGTTGTTTTGGCCTAGTGACTTCAGCGTGCGACTCTCATCCCTGAGTTCGTAGATTCGATCCCCGGCTGTGCAGCTGTACACCAATGGACTTTCTTTCTATGTGCGCATTTAACATTCCCTCGAACGGTAAAGGAAAACACCGTGAGGAAACCGACATGTCTTAGACCCATAAAGTCAACGGCTTGTGTCAGGCACTGGAGGCTGATCACCTACTTGCATATTAGATTTAAAAATGATCATGAAACAGATTCAGAAATCTGAGGCCCAAATCAAAGAGGTTGTAGCGCCACAGATTTTTTTAACACAACCATCCCATCGGCAATAACTGTTATAACCAATGGATAGGATAGTTGTATAGTTGGATTGCATAGTAAATAAATTTTTCTATTTTTGACATTGAAATTCGTGATGTATTATGATGAACTAGTTTCATTGGACATTGACAAACCGTGCGTTGAACTCTTTTCTATAGACCGGTTCACCCTTTAGTTATAAAAATACCTGATATGTATTTATATAGTATACCTATATTCAGTAGAGACTCAACATTTTTTTTTACACTTTATTAGTATTTTTTATGTTTAGGCTTAGGTCAGTTTTTCTATCCTACTTTTATGATGACTATAATCATCTAATTCAAATATCAACTAGTTTCGACATATATCTTCCAGGTATAAATAAATGAGTCGAATTACAAAATCTGTCGTACAACAAATCAATGGGTAATAATCTTATTTATTTATTTAATTATACAGCTAACATACATACTATAAAACAAAACACTTAGACAATATACAAAGTCAAAACAGATTACATAGATAAACAATATATACGAAACAGATATATAACAGATAACAAATAAGTTCATTAAAAGACAAAACTATTTAAAGAAAACTGAAATTTAACATTTAAATCAACAAATAATATAGAAATTTTACCTAAAAATAAAATTTGTATTATGTTTCCTAAGACGTCCGAGGTCCATTATGAGAGTACATCGTTTCCGTTTCCGCCCAAATCGCTAGTATCCGACCTTTTCCCACCACGTGACTCCGCCGCCAGCGCCCAGCGTTTGAAACTGGAACTAACTTTTTACCGCGCTAAAGCAAGCCGCCAGAATTCTTGTTCATTGTTTGTCTCATAATAAGAGAACCAGGAAGAGCTTGTTTGGACCTCGGACGTCTTAGGAAACATAATACAAATTTTATTTTTAGGTAAAATTTCTATATTATGTGTTCCGTTTGACGTCCGAGGTCCATTATGAGAGACGTGTTTGTTATCTCCTGGTGGCTTGTAAAGTTATATAATAACTAAAAACGCAACAATGTGATTTGAATTATTTATCTCCGATAGAATCATGATGAAATAAACAATACAAGCTAATTAAAGTCTAAGCTTTAGCATCATTTAATAAACATAATAACACATTTTTTATTGTTTATAATGAAGTAGAAAACTTGGCTAATCATTAAGCGGCCGAAAGTACTGAGAAAGAGACTTCTGATTGAGTCTCAGCATTCTGACTATTATTATCTAGATTTCGACAATAATATATCTTTAAGAATAAGAATAAGAATAATTTATTTTCTCCCATGTACTTTCATGACGCAATCTGCCTTAACAAGAATATCATTTATGTTTCTAAAAAATTTAGCGAAGCAACAGCTGATCAACTACCCCGAGATGCTTCGATACCCGATTCCAAAAGGGGTTTCTTAATCCAGCCCCCAAAAATTGTGGGCGTAGCTGGTCTTACAGGATATCTGGTTGTAATAAACAAATTTGTCAAGGAGCCTCACCTATTATTAGAGACAGTTATGAGTATCCTAAGCCAAAATAAGGGATTTAGATGCTTCTCCGGGCAAGATAAAAACGTCCAACTTGACTATCTATACGTTCCTGTATCTGTTTTAGAACCGAAAACCGGATGCAAAGTGATGGAATCACCGTTATCAATAAAATGCTGAGGCTCGCAATGCAAGAGAGTCAAATCATGAACTCTATGCCCAGAAGCCAATAAAATTATTGTGGCTGTGCATTTCGAAATATGAAATAAATTTTGCTCATCTAGTTTTAGGCTTTTCAAATAATTTATAACTATCCCTGCATCCCATACTGGCAATTACTGTGCGATTGGTCTAGCTATAGATAGGATTGAGCTAGCGCTTTAAGAATATGTTTTACTAATTTATTAGATGAAATTTTAACATCGCTTAGAGCCTCACAAATTGATGCTATGTCAGATTTGTGAACTAAAATAGATATAGATCTATTTAGATATATAGATAATAGATTTAGATATATAGATATCTATGCCATATGATCCTTTATAAATAGGTTTGCTAAGTATCTAGCTACATCAGGAGGAGCCGGGAATCGACAGTTTATATTACTATGTTGACACCAATTTACCCATTCATACCAAATAGGGGCATATGTTTTCCTTGTTGAAGCTCTCAAATACGACGAAATAAGTTGTTTTTCGTCTCGTGTTTTCCAGCCAAAATCAGCCACGCTTCCAACTGTAATTTCTGCCCTTGAGGAGATGGTTGACCCGTTACGGTATTTATTAGGGTTTTGTTTAGATTCCGTATTGGTAGCGAGGGTGCAAGTGCTCGGCCTTTCAAATCCGGGCGCCAAAAAGGCTTCCTCCACCTGGGTGCTATTATTATGAACTTCCCTTGGGATAAGTTGAGATGGTGCAGCACTCGAGGTAGAGGCACTGGCGGTTGAAATATCTACGCTAGATCGTATCGCCAGCATCTGCTGAAGGCGTGGTGAAGCAAGTGTTGGAGTCTAATAAGTCTAGCGACACATAACTGGCCACGACAAGAGCCTCTCGTGACGCGAAAAGATCTATTTCGGGGGGTTCCCCATCGTCTGAATATGTCCGTGGTTGCCTCTTTCAAGAGATGCCATTCGGTGCCCCTGCGATTGCGCGAGAGGTAATCGGCTTCCACGTTGTACATTCCCGGCAAGGAAGTGAGGGATAAGTACAATATTCAAACTGTCCGTCAGTGCCAGAAGATCTTCTGTCAATTTTAACAGCATTTAGGACCTTGTT